AAAGGTTGAGAACTAGCTAGCTATCAGACAATATGCTAGGGACCAACAGTACAATTTTCCTGAAACTATATCGTGCAGTAGTCTTAAAAAATAAATGAGAAAATGAAGAGAGGAAACAACAGAAGCCACACAATTGCTAATTTACTGCCAGTTTAGCTGAAATGGCTTATTTTCTGTTGCTTTTTGATGCAGGGTAATTTGATTCTTACGGATATAGGCTTGGCTGAGAAACGAGTATATCATGCTGCTCTTAATGGTAATAATAGAATGCGTACTGTTTTGCATCAGAAAGACGATTGATAATATTCATGGCCTCGCTCTGAAAAGTTATCTTGTCCATCTTGGATCCGTGTTACTGTTTGTGTTGCTATTGAATATGGTGGTTTCCCACCCAAAAAACCAAAAATATATTTGTGTTCTATCGTACTTTTGTAACTTTTTTATACATAAACAGGTGGCCATTAATTATAATGTTACGATTTTCTTTGGAGTTCTTTTTCATTCTCTGCTTCAAGAGCTCACTGGGTTATACTGTATTTTGCATGTTCTCAACATAGAAATTATTGAATACCCTTGGAAGTCTTCTATGGCAGAGTTGGTATGGAGAATTAGATAGAAGTAGACAGTATTAAGGAAGAAGAATAAGCTGAAAACTTGTTTATTATACTGCCCGGCTTTACCCAGTTCTGTATACCAAACTTGCACTTAGGGTAAAAACATGCTTGGTTAATCTGAATTATCTATTTGATGTTCCTGCAGGTTTGTTTTGTCAACGATAATCCGGATTCGCCTTGTGTATATTCATTGTATAAATCTATTGTTTGACCCCAGAAAAAAGTAAAATTAAATGCAGATAATTATGCTGGAAGAAAGCATTCTTCTTGTTGATAAGACTTCAAAATGTATTTCTATGGATATCATAACATGCTGCAGCTTTGGTGGGATTCTTGAAGCTGGACTATTTTTTGACATTTTAGACAGTTTAACAGATCTTGAAAGCCGATTTGCTGAAGA